AATCGGCGGCTGAAACCGTTTCCCCCGCGGAACGCAGTGGTAAATTGCGGAGGAACGCGGCGGTCAAACACCGGTCAACGCGGTGGAAACCTTAAATTTTAAAAATAAATTACTGTATTTAAACATCAGTATATGTACGTACATGTACTGTAACATGTACTGTCATATACATGTAACTATATGTAAAATTTGTTTGTTTTCTTTCTTTTTTGTTGTAATAAAAGTACATGTACAAATGCAGTGTTTTCTTGTTCTTCTTCTTGTTATTGCGTTGGGTAATGTATAATATGAATTCGACATCAAGATAAATCATTGTCGTCGCAACTTCATGGTAGTCGAATAATGAAAAATTCGGCATATGACATGTATGAAAAAGATACTACAACAATTTATATGCCAGCTTTTGTTTCTTATTTGAAAACTTTGAAAACGTAACCCTCAACAATTTTATTCAGGCAATATTCCAGGACGTCTCTTTCAATTGTCAGATGCATTTTACCGTTTCTGTTTAATTGCATGTTGATCATAAAGTCTTATATATTATTTGGAATATTAAAAGAAAGCGTTTATTTCACCAAAATATACATTAAATGATATTCTTGATTTATCTAATTACAGGTGTGAGTGTAATGTATATGTTTTGAAGTTTGTATCAACTGTTGAAGTTTATTTTCATTTTTGTTTTAGTAGTTTGTTTGCTTGTTCTTTTTTATTTTTTTATAGATTTTTTTTGCAGAATTTTGTTAAACTTGTATTCACACTCATCGACCTCTTACAGGACATGTACTGTAGCGTCAGTCATCATTGAGAAATCAGCACAAAATTAATGTCCTGTTTTTACTAAGTATCATATTAATGGCTCCCATATTGTTTAACAGCAATAATACTTATAGAACCACAAGGAATGAACAAGTAAAGATGACAGTGATAAATGACGATTTCAGTTGTAAAAATATTGGTATGTGGAAGAATAGTTTTGTGGATGTTTATAACAAAAATATTAAAAACAACAACAAAAACAGGTACAGCTGTAATTTTTTTTTTTTCAAATTCCCTTCAAATAATTTAGCGTATAATAACATTTAAGGAGACGATTATGGTCAATTTTCAAGTCATTGTGTAAAAAAGATGAAGTTAAAAAATAATAAAACGTCTATTATTTTTGGAGGTTAATTTATACTGACCCAACTGACCATGGCATTCCCCCGCGGGAAACGGGTGACTGATTTTATCGATAAATGAAGAACGGTCGTCAGAATTTTGTTTGGGTGGAAACAACTGAACACCGGGGATCGCGGGGAAATTAGGCTTCTCATCGGGGACGAGCCCCTGCGTTTGTCCGCGATAAAAAAAATCGTCCGCGGTAGTATCGCGGATAAAGCAAAATCCGCGTGAGCGTACTGTATGTGTATAGCAAAAACTTAAAAATCTTCTTTGAAAAACCCAAATAGCTAGAGTTTAGATATTAAGCATGAAACATCTTTAAGTAAATATCTACAAAGTTTGTTCAAATAAAAGCCCGGGGGTCAAAACTGGCCCTGCCCGAGGGGTGTCATTGTTTTTAACTATATGTGTATAGTAAAAACTTAAAAAATCTTCTTTTAAAAAATCCCAATGAGCTAGAACTTAGATATTTTGCATGAAACATCTTCTTATGGGTGTCTACCAAGTTTGTTCAAATAAAAGCCCTTGGGTAAAAATTGGCCCGGGGGGGGGGGGGCTATATACAGGTGAGCGACCTCAGGGCCATCATGGCCCTCTTGTTAACTGATATAGTCTTACCTTCAAATGATAGCGTCCAATCTTTTAAATGATATAATCGAACCTTTAAATGATACTGTCCAATCTTTAACATGATAAAGTCAAACCTTCAAATCATATAGTCGAACCTAAAAATGATAATGACAAATCCTAAAACTAATATAGTCAAACCTTAAAATGACATAGTCAGACCATAAAATGATACTGTCCAATCCCTCAGATGATTACATGGTACCTTAGAATGATACTGTCCAATCCTTAAAATCATATAGTCTGATGTTAAAATGATAAAATCAAATCTTAAAATGATACTGTCCACTTGTTAACATAATATACTTGAACCTTAAAATGATATAGTCAAACCATAAAATGATACTTTTCAATCCTAAAAATGATATAGTCAAACCTTAAAATAATATACCGTAAAATTCCTATTAAACGCCCCTGCCCTAATAAAGCCCCCCCCCCCCCCAGGTTTTTTGACAAGGAAAAAAAATTACTCACCAGTGCAAAATTCAAAAGTAAATCCAAAACTATTCAAATCCTTCAAAATCCACTTTATTTAATCGATAACACAAAAAAGAATCATAAAGTTTTAAAACTTTTAACACTTTTAACGTTAATTAACACTTAACGTAACAGTACAATATCCAATGGCACGTGTACATATGTACATAGAAATGTACCGTGAGTCTTACGTTTTTAGAAAAGTTAATGACCAGGACTTGGTGGGATGAACGTTGTGAAATACTTAAAAGACAGAAATACTCATTCTTAAGACGGTTTCGAACATCAAACCTTGCATCTGATTTAAGAATTTATAAAGATAAAAGGAATGAATTTAAAAATTATTGTAAGAATAAATTTTATCAGTACCAGTCTCAAAATCGACAAAAGCTTATTAATAATAGAAACGATCCATGTTTTATGTGGAAACAACTTAAACAAGCAAAACAAAAACAATTTATAGATTCAAGTATCGGAGCCGATGATTGGTATACATATTTTCGTGGTTTATTGTTTGATAATGATATATCACCTTTAGAATATAATAATGATAATGATGACGTCATCGTTGATAATATACATGATATATCAAACTTAAACGAACCATTTATATTGACGGAGGTCGAGTTAGCTATTCGGAAGTTAGCAAACGGAAAAAGCTGCGGCTTGGATGGAATACCATCTGAATTTTATAAGAATAGTTTAAACAGTATTGCACCTTATTTAGTATTAATTTTTAATCGAATATTTGAAACAGGTGAATTCCCTCAATCTTGGGGTCTTAGCATAATATGTCCTATACATAAGGCTGGATCAACCTGTGACCCGAGTAATTATCGAGGAATTTCTCTTATTAATACACTATATAAAATATTTTCAAAGCATCGTTAATAAGCGTTTGTATGAATTTGCTGAAAATAACAATAAGTTTGACGAATCTCAGGCAGGTTTTCGAGCTGGGTATTCGGCAATTGATAATGTTTTCTGTCTTCAAGCTATGGTGCAAAAATATCTTTCCAAAAAAGGGGGTAGATTTTATTGCTTGTACATTGATTTCCGTAAGGCCTTTGATAAGATTAACCATAAGATACTTTTTCAAGCTTTACAAAGAAAAGGAATAAACGGAAGATTTTTTTTTTTATTAATGAAAAGTAAAATTTCGCTTTTCTTTGGGGAAAAGGGTTTGAAATTTTCGTTTTTTTAATCCCAAAAAAAAGTTCCAGGAATGGCCTTGAAACGATTTTTAAATGAAACTGGGGAACCCGACAGGGGGACAAACCAGCCAAATTTTGCTCTTTTTTTGATAATTGAAACTCGTTGTAAAGTAACTCGGGGATTTTTTTTAACCCCCAAAGAAACACGATTTTATTTCCTCATTTTGCTTTGATTTTGCAAGTTTGCTGAAACGCATTAGTTTTACAAAAAAATTTAAAATGTTGCCCATGAATTTTGTAAAAATACTGGGGGGTTTTAAATTTTAAAAAAAACTGAAATTATGGTATTTAGAAATGGGGGGACCGCTTAGACAATTATGAAAATTGGCATTTTCGGGGTAGTACTCTTTAAAAGTTACTTCCGTTTACAAATATATGGGACTTTTATTTACACCAGGTTTATCATGGAGTGCAGCACAAGATAAATTATGTGCACAAGCACAACGTGCAATACTTTCTATTTATAGTTATAAAAAAACCATATGGTTATTTCCAACAAACGAACTTTTCATTCTGTTTGATAGTATGGTTAAACCTATTTTATGCTATGGGTCACAGATATGGGGATACGAACTTGTTGACTCTATCGAGGCAGTTCAAAATAAATTTTGTAAAAAGCATTTAAGTGTAAAAAGGACAACAAATACATGTATAGTTTTAGGAGAATGTGGACGTTTGCCATTGTGTATAACTTATTTTGTTAATTGTATAAAATACTGGTGTAAATTGTTGACTATGCCAGATCATAGATATCCCAGACAATGTTATAAAATGTTGAAGTCCCTAGATGAGAGTGGTCGAAATTGTTGGGCATCAAAAGTAAAAATCACTACTTTATACTTATGGTTTTGGATATGTATGGCTTGCACAAGATATTGGAAATATAGACATATTTATTTTAACTTTTCGTCAACGGCTGAAAGATTGTTTTGAACAAAAATGGCATAATGATATAAATATTGCGTCCCGTTGTTACCATTATAAATTTTTTAAGAGTCAATTAAATCCTGAACGTTATCTTTACTGTGATATTCCAAGAAAATATATGGTTGCTCTTGCAAGGTTTCGATGTTCCTGTCACAAATTAACGATTGAAATGGGAAGACAAAAATAATATACCACTTCATGAAAGAATATGTTTATTTTGTTTTAACCAAAATAATGTAACTGTTATTGATGTGTGAATTTCATGCCTTTTTTCAATGTTCTAAGTATAATGACGTCCGAAATAATTATCTCTATAATTGGTATTCAAATGGTACTACAATTAACGATTTTTATTCGCTGATGAGTACACAAAATGAAGAAAATATTTATAAACTATCTCTGTTTGTATATCACTTGTTGAAAAGTACCAGCTCTTGACTTATTTTATTCTAATTTTATATGTTATGCAACTACATTCAATACATGTATACACTATAATATTTATACTGTTGTGTATTTTGGGCCGGAGGCCTTTATTTACTTAAATAAAATTGAGTTGAGTTGAGTTGACTGTCACAGTCAGACACCTGATCATCTGAATCACTGTTTTGATCAGATTCAGACAGTTCTGCAGCCACATTTTCCTGCACCTGCTCACTTATGTTCACATCATCGGGATCGAACCCTTCAAAGTCCGATTCAACAGTTTCGTCATCAGAAGCGTGATTAAAGAGATGATCTTCAGTTCCATCCAACTCTGTAGAAATCCCGCACTTTTTAAATGATTTCCTAATCATTTCAGGGGTAACAGTATCCCAGGCAGTTTTAATCCACTTGAGAATCAGAGACTTGGGGGTGCCCTTCGATTCCCGGCAGGATTTAAGTCCACAGGCCCAGAAAACAGCCACTCGTCATATAATTCAGCAAACTTTCCCTTAAATGGTTTGTTCCATGAAACGTCTGCCGGCTGTAAACGTGACGTGCAGCCTCCTGGTATTACACTCATGTCAGTGTTGCAGTGTGTACGTAAATAATCCTTGACCTTATCAGTCAAATGAGCGCAAAATGCGTCCCAAACAAGTAAGCGCCGGCTTGTTTGATTTCTGCCCCAGAAATTTTTCAACCAAAATAAAATGCTCTCTTCATTTGCCCAAGATTTTTTACCGCTGCCGCACATGTACACGATAATTCCACATGGAATGTCACCACTAGGTAAAGGTCGTACTCCAGGCAAATGGACCAGTGGCGAAAGTTTTGTCCCATCTGCATAGGCGCCTAAAGTGACGGTGATTTTCTCTTTTTCACGTCCTGTAGATTTTACAGTTATATTATTCTGTCCACGAATGTCATACGTTGCTTTGCATTTCAAGATAAACAGGCGTTTCATCCATATTGCCTATTTCTGACAAGTTATAATTTCTTAACTGGCGCATACGAATAACAAAACGTAGAAATTTGTCAATAAGTCCATCAGTAATTTCAACTGATTTCTGGGCAATGTGGGTAGTGCGACGAAATGAAAAGTTATGACATCGTTTAAAGCACCTAAACCAACCGCAGGATGCCTTAAATGACTGTGACCCGTTCTATTGGTGTAATCTAAGTGCTTCATGTCTTAGGGCCTTCCCAGTAACACGCACTCCTTTCCCCCGACGTTCATTAAACCACAGCAACAGCTGCTGGTCAATGTCTCTGTATCAAACTTGTCTACCCCCGCCAGGTGCACGTTTACGACTCTTGCAGGCAGCTGCTTGCAACGTTTCTTTTGCCTTACACCACTCTCGAATGCGTTTCCTGTCAACATTAAATAATTTGCTTGCCTTGTGTTTACCAACTTGCTCGGCAATACCAACAACTTTTAACTTAAAAGAAGCGCTATAAAATCGATGTGTTGGTTGCTTTTGCTCCATGATTAAGCAGTTAAATTTAATCAGTGTTATGTGTATTGTTAAATATACATTGTCTACACATTTATCGTTCGATTACGTCACCGAGCCACCTGTGAGACAGATAAACATGACTGAGGTCACGTAGGCCATAAACTGATGCTGTTTACATGAATTAATCTGGCATAGCTTGATTTTACGATTTTTTGGATTTAGGAAAAAATGTGTTTTAATAAACGCCCCACTTTGGAAAATGTTACGCCCCGGGGGGCGTTTAATAGGAATTTTACGGTAGTCAAACCTTAAATTGATATAATAGAACCTTAAGATAATACTGTCATACCATTAACATGATATAGTTGACCCTTAAAATGATGTAGTAGAACCTGAAAAGATACTGATATAGTCTTACCTTCAAATGATACTTTCCGATCTTTAAAATGATAAACTCAAACCTTTAAATGACACTGGCAAATCCTTAAAATGTTATAGTCGAACATTAAAATGATACTCTCCCTTCAAATTATATATTCAAACCTTAAAATGATACTGTCCAATCCTAAAACTGATAAAGTCAAACCTTAAAAGTGACATAGTTAGACCTTGAAATGATATAGTTGAACCTTACAATGATACTGTCCTAACCTAAAAATGGTTGTGTGGAACCTTAAAATGATAAAGTCAAATCTTTAAAAATGATACTGGCCAATCCTTTAAATGATACTGTCCAATTCTTTCAATGATATTGTAGATGTTTTCCGTTAAAAATAGTCAAGAATGCGCAGATTTCAACACTTTTCTTTATTCTCATTCATGGAATAATATATCAATGTGATACAACAATGCGATTCTCTGAAAATAATAAATAAACATACTAAATACTGATTACAACGCATTTAAATAAAATACAATAAATTCTCTAAAATAATAATGCTAATACAAATCATAAATATACGATATCACCTTTACAATTATAGACTTAAATCTATTAAAATAATATTGTTATTTTATATTTCCGCGAATAATTCCGTTTATAATTTAATTCACGGCATAATATTGTAAAGTTCATCATCATTTAAACAATATTGAATTTACTATTAAATTCATACATAATTAATAACTTGCTTACCGATTATGATCTACTTTCCATTGGAAAACATCAATAAACAAAACACATCAACAATTTAAGCACTTCCGCCCAAGGCAAAACAACATATCAAAGTAACGGTTAATGACGTCACCGTAAAACAATTTAATGACGTCTTTTTACGGGAAACAAAATAAGACGTTAGGTTTGGCGGAAATAGTGAAGCTATCTTAAATTGAAAGAGTCAAACAATGTTTTTAATACTATCGAAAAAATCAAACTATGAAAATTATGTGATTATAATAAATAAATTTACAATTAAGAACTATAATTCTTACACTCCCCACCATGAAACGTTACGATTTCATCTTATACAAACAATAGCTTATTGTAATGTATACCTTTACGATTTAAATAGAACATTCTAGTAGGCAAAGTTTAGTTATTGGTCTTATGAATTGTGACATACTAGTTTTGACCACACAGCTTCGTGTATGCCCGTCCCGACCCACATTTATAGATACAACCCTGCCCAACGGCCACTGCCCCCTTGGTATGTTTTCCTGAGCCACGAGTACAATATCGCCCTCACGGATATCTCTTTGTGGTCTCAGCCATTTTTGTCGAGATTGTAGGGTAGGTATATATTCCCGAATCCATCGTTTCCAGAATATATCAGCAAGATACTGAGCCTGTCTCCACCTTCTCTTTGCATATGTATCTTCTTTTCTAAAAATGCCACGTGGAATACATGTATTGGACTTTAGTAATAAAATCATGCTTGGAGTTAAAACTGGGGGGTCTTTTGGGTCATCGCTTACTCGGGTAATGGGTCTATCATTAAGTATTTTTTCAACCTCAGTTACAACAGTAAGAAGTTGTTCATCTGTCAGAAGCTGCTCTTTGACTAACGATCTCAAAATTGCACGTGTCGATCGTATCATCCGTTCCCATATACCGCCCATGTGACTAGCTGACGGAGGGTTAAAGTTCCATTCGATTTCCCGCTGCAACATGAATTGTCCAATTTCGGATTGATTCCACTCTCGTAAGGACTTGCGTAATTCACAATCTCCACTTACTAGATTGGTTCCGTTGTCACTATATACCTTTTCCGGTAGACCTCTCCGGCTAATAAATCGTTGCAATGCGGCGATAAACGAATCTGTACTCAAACTATGAGTAACTTCTAAATGGACGGCCCTTGATGTTAAACAAGAAAAAATACATCCATATCTCTTTACTTCAACATCATCTTCACTCACTTCCGGGATAAAATTACCTGAATACTTAGGCCAGTGTTCCCTACCTTTACTAAGAAATGTTGGTCCATGTAACCAAACATTTAATTTGTCTGTTTCAGAAGCGTTATGCACATTTGTTACTGGATGATGCGGCGTATACCAAACACGCGTTTTCTCTGGTACCATGTAATCTACATCCGATGAATAGCCATTCGCAATGTAACCATTTACAGTAGTTCTGTACATATCATGCAAATTATTGTCATTTGACAACTTGCGCTTCAACTGCTGTAATCTGGCTTGGGCAAGCGGTATATTATTTACGAATGACGAATTTATATCACGCCAAGAGAGACCAATCTTGTAATGACCATCCTCGCGAGTTAAAGTTGATTCCATGGATTTCATAGCACTTTTATCTTCTATAGACATGCAACTCTTCACTTGTTGTGATTTATCATTAAAGTCAGTTGTCCACAAACGCTCAATTTGTTGCTGTAACAACATGTCACGTGACTCAAAGAAATTTATGTTAATATCGTTGGATTCTTGTGTAGTTGGAACTGGACCGCGTATAGCCCATCCAAGACGAGTGCGTATCGCGTACGGTTCATCGCTATTTCCGAATTTCACTTCTAGCGGTATATGTGCAATAGGTGAATCCGTCCCTATTAACATCATAACGTCATTAGTGTCTATATCTGGAATATTTATACCGGATAAGTACGGTAAGTTTCGGATATCTGCATATTTAGCTGCAGATCGAGTTGATATCGGTAATGACTTTACTGACCAGACTTTTCTTAGGGTAATACTTTCATTTCCATCGATAGGTTGAATATCTAAGTCGGCCTCCTGACCATGTATAATACCTTCACGTGAGTTTGCCGTAGACATCCGGAATGTGACGGGCTTACCGGTTATATTCAGGCTCCGTAACAATCTTTCATCACATAAGGTTTTATCGGCTCCATCATCTAGCAGGGCATATGTCTGACAAGAACTACCGTCCCCACCCCTAACTATTACAGGAATAATACCCAGACAATTTTTTACAGTAGAACCTTCTGTTGCTGCACAGTTACACGACGACTGCACTGCTGTGTGGCCATTATCGGGTTTTACCCAACTATGTAACAAAATGTGGTGTTTTACATTACAATTAGTAACATTACATATTTTTGGTTTTCTACACTTGTTTGTAAAATGTTTACCTTTTAAACAATTGTAACACAATTTAAGTGATCTTACCAGTTTATAACGATCATTGAGACTCATTGACTTGAACTTGTTACACAGTGATAACTCTGCACAGTTACCTGAACAACAATAGCATTTACTACTTTCATGACCGTTTTCTTCAGTATGTGTACTCAGAGTAGTAACCTTTGGTCTATCATTACTGTAATATTTGCCAGAACTGTTTCTGGTTTCTTTCTTGATAAAATCATTGTTTTTACAAAGATCATAGCTATACATGGAGTTAGCGATACGTGATTTTTCGTCTACAAATTTAGACAAATCTGAAAAGCGCGGCACTCTACCTGACTCATTTATATAATGTGCTACTTCTACCCATTTTACCCTTATATGTGTTGGGAGCCGCCTAACAATGCATCTTAAATTTTCTGTATTATCAATATCAGAGGAAAATCCTAACTGAGAAAGTGTGATTTCACATTTCTGCATCTCTAAAGATAATTTAGATAGCCCTTCAACATCGGACGCTTTAATCTGAGCACCATTTACCAAGTTATCAATGTAAGACCTTGCAATTAAATGTGGTCTGCCAAATCTAGACAATAATATTGACCTAGCACGTTTATAACCTTCTTCCGGTTCTAACAAAACACAATCTTCTATACTAGATTTTGCCTTACCTGTACAATACTGAATGAGATAACTTAGCTTTAAATTATTGTCACTTATTCTGCTTTCAATGTTTGTTTCAAAGTTTTTGATAAATTTGCAGTATCCTTCAGGCTTCCCATCAAATGTCAATAGTTCTGGCTTCGGTAAGTTGAATCCTTCATGGAGTGCTGACGCCAATCTTTGAAATGATCTGTCAATGCTCGATGTCTCACTGTCAACTTCCGGTATACACGGTCTGTTCATTTCCGGTCTGGGCTGTGTCAAAGTTATATTTCTCACAGAATCTGTACGGTTGTTCACCTGAATATGATTAGTCATATTATTTTTTACGTCAGGCTGAGCATTTTGATTGTTAGATATGACCCCGGTTTCTTCCTGTGTTGTTTCTAACCACGCCATTTCTTCTATCTCTGCTTCTTCTAATTCCGACTGCTGATCTAACAACTGTTGTTTCATTTCAAGATCCTGGCGAGCTCGTTCAAGTTCTTGTTTCTTTTTAAGTTGTTTTAATTTGTGTTCTGCAATTAAACGCTTTGCTTTAGCACTTTGTAATTTCCGGCGCGACGAGACTGAAGTACGTGAACTTCCATGGCTGACATTTGACTCTGCGTCATTTTCTACAGGAATATTTTCTCCATCATGCGGTCCAATAGCTCCCGCGATCCACTGAGAAAATCTTTCCCTGAATTCTTCAAAGTTCTTTAAACAGCTCTCAAAGTTCGCTTCCAAGTCTGCAACAACTTCCGGTTGCGCGCACAAATCTAAACATTGTAAATGCACTGATTTGAAATGTTCAAAGCGTTCACATAATTTATTGTTCAGTAGTTTTACCTCTTCTATATTATTGTAGGACATCATGCTCTTTTCAAGTTCATTGTATAGTTTCGTCAGTTGAGCGCCATTTGCACTTCTTGATCTCTTCAAACTGACAAACTCCTGATTACAAGTTTCCGCACTATTTGTTGACGGCATTTTCGTCACAGCAAATCGAGAATTGTAAATCGAGAATTGTAGATGTTTTCCGTTAAAAATAGTCAAGAATGCGCAGATTTCAACACTTTTCTTTATTCTCATTCATGGAATAATATATCAATGTGATACAACAATGCGATTCTCTGAAAATAATAAATAAACAAACTAAATACTGATTACAACGCATTTAAATAAAATACAATAAATTCTCTAAAATAATAATGCTAATACAAATCATAAATATACGATATCACCTTTACAATTATAGACTTAAATCTATTAAAATAATATTGTTATTTTATATTTCCGCGAATAATTCCGTTTATAATTTAATTCACGGCATAATATTGTAAAGTTCATCATCATTTAAACAATATTGAATTTACTATTAAATTCATACATAATTAATAACTTGCTTACCGATTATGATCTACTTTCCATTGGAAAACATCAATAAACAAAACACATCAACAATTTAAGCACTTCCGCCCAAGGCAAAACAACATATCAAAGTAACGGTTAATGACGTCACCGTAAAACAATTTAATGACGTCTTTTTACGGGAAACAAAATAAGACGTTACGTTTGGCGGAAATAGTGAAGCTATGTTAAATTGAAAGAGTCAAACAATGTTTTTAATAGTAAATACTATCGAAAAAATCAAACTATGAAAATTATGTGATTATAATAAATAAATTTACAATTAAGAACTATAATTCTTACAGATATTATTTAACTTTAAAATGATACAGTCAAACCTTCAAATGACTTGTCTTATCCTTAAACAGGGTTCCCACGGTCAGGGAAAAGTCAGGGAAAAAGGATTTTTATGCTCCCCGAAAAATTTCGGGGGAGCATTTAGTCGGGGCCTTGTCCGTCTGTCCGTCCGTTGTCTTGTCCGGAGCATAACTTGAAAACCCTTGGAGATAATTTGTTGAAACATAAAAGCTTGTAACATACTTTTGTACTATTACCTATTTTAAAAAAAAAAAAAAAAAAAAAAAAAAAGAATTTCATCTTTGGAAGAAATTTAATTTTGGAAGCTTTTATCTATTAATTAATCTTTTGGCGGCTCACATACACTTCATAAAATGTATGTGTCTTTGGAAAATGTTTTGTATTAGGTGCCTTAGTATAAAAAAGTCAGTAATGTAGTCTTGTAGTGTAATAATAGTTTAGTTCAACTTGTTGGTACTTCTGTCATAACAGTAAAAGCCTAATAAATATCAAAATACAAAAAAATACTATAAAATAATTAACATTTTATCACAGGGATTAAATACTCCTTTAATAAAATCTCTTATATTATTATACCCCCAAAAACGAAGTTTGGGGGGGTATATAGGAGTCACCCGGTGGTCGGTCGGTCGGTCCAGACGTCCGTTGCATTTTCCTTGTCCGGACCATAACTTGAAGACTAATGGTTGGAATTCAATATAACTACATACAATGGTCAAGCACATTGAGAGGAAGTGCAGTGCACAAGAACCATAACTCTATCTTGACTAATTACAGAGTTATTGCCCTTTGTTACTTTTCCTTGTCCGGGGCATAACTTGAAAACTACTAGTTGGAATTCAAAACAACTTCATACAATTGTCAAACACAATAAGGGGAAGTGCAGTGCACAAGAACCATAACTCTATCTAAAGTAATTACAGAGTTATTGCCCTTTGTTACTTTTCCATTGCTTTCTTTTGTCCGGACCATAACTTGAAGACTAATGGTTGGAATTCAATATAACTACATACAATGGTCAAGCACATTGAGAGGAAGTGCAGTGCACAAGAACCATAACTCTTTCTTGACTAATAACAGAGTTACTGCCCTTTGTTACTTTTCCTTGTCCGGGGCATAACTTGAACACCACTGGTTGGAATTCAAAACAACTTCATACAATTGTCAAACACAATAAGGGGAAGTGCAGTGCACAAGAACCATAACTCTATCTAAAGTAATTACAGAGTTATTGCCCTTTGTTACTTTTCCATTGCTTTCTTTTGTCCGGACCATAACTTGAAGACTAATGGTTGGAATTCAATATAACTACATACAATGGTCAAGCACATTGAGAGGAAGTGCAGTGCACAAGAACCATAACTCCATCTTGACTAATTACAGAGTTACTGCCCTTTGTTACTTTTCCATTGCTTTTTTTTGTCCGGAGCACAACTTGAAGACTAATGGTTGGAATTCAATATAACTTAATACAATGGTCAAGCACATTGAGAGGAAGTGCAGTGCACAAGAACCATAACTCCATCTTGACAAATTATAGAGTTATTGCCTTTGTTACTTTTCCTTGTCCAGAGCATAACTTGAAAACTACTGTTTGGAATTCAATACAACTTCATACAGTTGTCAAGGACATTAAAAGGAAGTGCAGTGCATAAGAGCCATAACTCCATTTTGACAAAATACAGAGTTACTGCCCTTTGATACTTTTCCTTGTCTGGAGCATAACTTAAAACGTACTGGTTGAAATTCAAAACAACTTCATACAATGGTCAAGCACAAAAAGAGGAAGTGCAGTGCACAAGAACTATAACTCCATCTTCAGTATTTATAGAGTTATTGCCCTTTGTTCCTTTTCTTTGTCTTTCTGGACTTATTACAGAGTAATTCAATAAAACTTCATCAATGGCCAACCACATTGAAAGGAAATGCAATATACAAGAACCACAACTATCTTTAATTGCCCACAACCATAACTCTATATTTCAATTCTTTTACAAGATATTCTGTTACTAGTAACATCCTCATTTCCGAAGCAGTCTTGTGGGGGTATTAATCACATTTAGTGATAGTTCTAGTTTAAATATTCTAGTCCGTGTATAAAATTGTTCCATTTATTTAAAATTAAACTTTTTTTAAAATAAAAACAAAACATTTTACAATTGCAGTGTACTTGCAGTAACAATTGTATTTTGTTTAGACTTTTCTCGGGTTTTTAAATGCAGTTATCTAAAAAAGATTGAAAATTAAAGTAATTTTCCGCAACTATTTAAACCAGGTATTATAGTGTGGTACAATTAAATCTTTGTTGTTGTAAATTTTACAGTACTGGTTTAGCCAAAAAAGTACATAAAACATTGTGCTCTAGTTTAAATTAAATCAAGTAATTATTAAAAACATTTGGGTATAGCAGTCATATGGAAGTAGTGTGTGCTTATATTGTCTTCATTGTTATTTAAATTTCCCTTGTAAATTGTTTGGTAGGTAAAATCCATTCAATTTTATTACAAGTTAAAATACAGTACTAAACTTAATATTTATATATTGTATACTTTCTCACATTAAAAAACTATAAAAGTTAGTACAGTGTAAAAAAATTACCAGCATTAAATATTGGTTTAGGTAATTGCATTTACAAACATTTAATTGGTGCACATAAAAGCTGCAAATTTAAAAGTTTATTTATGTGTTATTTATTTTGTTTGTAAAAAATTTTCTATGGTGTACAATATGGAACATCATTTTTGCGTGTTTTAATTATTCATTTACTAAAGGCCTAAATTGTCTTTGGTAAATAAAATTCATCTGGTGTGTAAATTCTTTTAAATATACATATTACCATTACAAATTTCAGTTGCCATGTTTGTGTATGGTGTACAATGTATGCCATCTTGTAAACAAAAATTTATTTTTGTGTATTACTTTAAGTTTAACTATTTTCATTTAAAAGTTTTTATTTAAAATAATATTTCAAGTAAAAAGTGCCCTTCATTTTATTTTTTTTGTCAGTGTGGGTTGTTGTTGTTAATTTGTTAACACGTTATGTCAGTAATTATCAATATAAATAATAACAATACCACACCTAAAGGAAAAAATAGTTGTAATAAGTTAAATCTTAAGTATTGTTTGCAACGTGTTTTAAGTTCTGGTTATACTGTTAATACAGTGCAACCTAAAACTAATAAACATTCACTCTCCACTAATGCTAATCCTAATACACATACACCTATTAGGAAGTACCAACATAAACATCGTAATCGTTCTCCTCCTGTGTTATCTCCTCATAGGTTGCATTCTATTCATAAAAGTGCCTCGTCACCCTTTGTTAAAAAACGTCAAAGTCGTGTTTCTTTTCATCCTAATTTCAATTCCACCCCTCTTGGCTCAAGTTTGCCCAAAAAATCTAATTATTATTCTAGGCCTAAGTTTAAAAAATTATCACAGTCCTTTCCCAAATCTGCTTCTCTCCCACAGCATAATTCTTATAGCAGCCCTTACAATTTTCCACCACAAAAACTTCCTAAATTACCTCAGTTTTCAAAAAAATTTAAAAAAAAAATGTAAAATTTGTCGTTTAAAAGTATAAAGTCAACTGTATTCTCAAAAGCGGTATGTATTCTAAACATTCCATTTTGAAGTCAATTCGGCGTAGTCTGCGTGGAAAGGCCAAATCAGTTTTGTTACATCTTGGGGAGACTGGGCAACTGTGAATAAAATCATTCAAAAAATGAATGCAACTTATGGTAATGTTTGTTCAATCCCTGACATGATATAGTGAAACCTATAACCGATACTGTGAAATCCTTAAAATGATATAGTTGAACCTTTAAATGATACAGTGTCCAATTCCTTAATAAGACCCTGTCCACTCCTTAAAATGATAAAGCTGAACTTTGAATTGATATTGTAGAATCTTTTAAGTGATAAAGTCTTACCTTAAAATGATTGTTCAACCTTAAAATGATAATGTCCACTCCTTAACATGATATAATCAAACCTTAAAATGATACTGTCCAATCCTAAAAATGATTTAGTTAAACCTTAAAATGATAAAGTAGAATCTTAAAATGATACTGTCCAATCCTCAGGATGATAATATTTAGTGGAACCTTAAAATGATACTGTCCAATCCTTAAGATGATATAGTCCAGCCTTAAATTGATATTGTCCGATCCTTACAATGATAAAGTCAAACATTAAAATGATCAAGTCCAATCTTTAAATGATACTTTCCAGTCCTTAAAATGATAGTGTCCAAGTATTAAAATGATATAGTCAAATCTTAAAATGATACAATCAAACCTTCAAATGATCCTGTCCAATCCTTAAAATGATATAGTAGTACCATCAAATGATGTAGAACCCTTAAAATGATAGTCCCAAATTTTTGAAAAAATATAGTCAAACCTTAAGGTGACAACAGACACTTTCCGTGGTACTCACATAAATGTCATTTAAACTAAGTTATTTTAGTAATAATTGTTATTTATTTAATCTTTGTGCATTAAATATCATTGATCATCATGAAAAATAACATATTTGAAAAAAAATGCCTTTGTAAATGATTGTTAATTGCTTGATTATTAAAAAAGTTATGCCGATTCAAAGTTAGTCCGACCCTCATCAAACAAAGTGTCATAAATCGGCTGTTCTCTCTCGGACCCCTACGTTTCACGCTAAATAATTGCATAATACACGAATATTGCACCAGAGAAGGTCACAAGTTGCGGTAACATACTCTAACAACATTTTATGACCCAGTGACATCTGACCAATTAAAAAGCTGCTGATTAATATCAGTTTATAACCGAAATTTCTTCAATTCTTAACGTGATTTACTGTCCGTCTGGTATCTGTCGCACATGTCACGTGACTATCGGTAAAATTTGAGGTACTCAGTGTGGGGAAATGGAACGCAGTGCCCTCCGCTAGCGTGGTATTTAATTGTTTCCATTTTGAAGTTTATTATTATTATCATCAGCATTATTATTG